GGAGGGTACCTCAATCACTCAAGTTACTTAGGAGGGTATCTTAATCACCCAAGCTACTTCGGAGGGTCCCCCTAAATTTACTAAGGAGGGTCAATAAGATGCTTAATACGCTCCGGAGGGTCACTTCGGAGGGTACCTCCAAAATTTTCAAATTTTCTGATCTCACTTGGAAGGTTCTCCTACTAGCTTCAAAAAACGTCAAAATAAGCTAAGGGTTCTAGGGGGAGCTGTTTCAACTTCTTAGGGTGATCTCGTGGAAATTTTCCACTAAGGAGGGTTGCTAAAGGGCTTAGCTGACTCCGGAGGGTCACTTCGGAGGGTTCCCCCAAAATCAAGAAAAAGGGTTAAATCACCGCAGTAAAGCCTCTGAAAGCGGTCTACCTGACTTAAAACTAGGTTGGCTGACACGGTCAACCTTCCCAGTTGAATAAAAAGATGTTTTGATAAAATTTTCTGCCGCTCGGAGGGTTGCCCGTTACTTGGACCCTCCGAACCAACAAATTCTAAAAAAATTTTCTTTTCCGAAATAATCAACCCAAAAACGGTTGCGATTCGGAAAAGTGGTCAAAAACGTCGACTTATGGTACCAAAATTATCCCGATCGGATAACTAGTCTTTGAGAAATCGCCAAAAACGCGTTCGTCAGAATGGCCTTTTTCACCACCTGTATAGGATCTGAAAGACTCTTTTCGCAATTCCGGTCGAGAGTGCCTAAAAATACTTGAAATGAGCGTAGCAGCCCTGTACGGCACTGGAATGATGCAAAAAACCGGACCAAAATTGGTTTAGAAACAAAAATTTGGCCAAAAACTATCAAATTTGGACCCTCCGATTCCTTCCTTTTCCAAACCTTAAGTCGTTAGCTCTATCCACGGAGCTACTCGGAGGGTTACCCAAAAATTTCTCTAGTAACCTAGCACGTTATGCTAGCACGCTCCTAACGCAAAAAATTTTATTGCTCTAACTCTAAAAACTCAAAAAATCGATCCCCAAAACAGATTGACAAAATACAGAAAATTATCAAAATTTTGGTCGAAAAATTCTCGTTTTTCTAACTTCTACTGAATCTTTGCTCACGCGGTTTCTTTAATAAAAGGGATCGAACTACGTGGCTACTCTCTATATAAAAGCTTTTTGCCTATCGGAAAAGCTCGGATATCCGAAAATTTGGGGGTCTACAGTTTGGTCGAAAATTGGTAATTTCCGACAAAAAATGGGTGTTTCTTGGGTCTAAATAGGAGATAAGTAATATATAATAAGGATAATAATCTATTAATAGTCGTTGATGAATAGTACTATACCCTCCTTTGCACCAAAATATCCGAATTAAGACCCTTAACTCGGAAATTTGTAATCGATGGAGGGTACAATCGGACCGCGCCAATCGTGCCCCCCACCACTTAAGTTTTAAAGAAATAGTACCCGAACGATACTAAAATTGCTTCAACGATACCCAACAGTCGTTGCGGATGTTGTCCTTGATGTCCCTGTTGAGTGTGGAACACGTTGATCAGCCTGCCACTCTACCCTCCGGTCACCGGCAAAATCACCATTAACGTGCTTAAACACTCTAATTACACTCGAGGGAGGGTACCCAACCCTTCACCAAAACACACAATCTCTCTATCAGAAACGATATAAATCAATCTGAAACAACAACAAATAGGAAGGTCAGATCACATCTCGTCCGGAAATAACATATAAACTGTCACTTTATGTTTTTTACTGTTTTTGGTCTTTTTTGGATTTTTTTTTTTTTTTACTGTTTTTTGTACTTTTTTGTTTTTAAATAAATTTGTTTTTGGCTTTTTCTTGGTTATACACTATTTTTGTTTGGTTTTACGCTTTCTCTTTAATTGTTTTTGGTCCTGGGACCTCAGGACAAGCGGGCTCTAGATTTCCCACCTAACCCTCCGGCCCCCGGAATTTTCGGTGTTAACTAAGTTAAAAAGCTAAATTGCACTAGACGGAGGGTACGCACCTTCCCCCTAGTACAATAACGGTCATTAAGGCCTCTAACTCGGGCATACGCCCGGAGCGGAGGGTACGTCGCTGAAACGCTTGCTGATCATGATGGTTTCATGCCTTTAACAGGCCCACCCAGGAGCGCCATAAAAACGTCTATGTAACATTCGCCCAAATATCACACAGCGACGGAGCGTAGAAAAAGTACCTATCAACGACTGGCAGGCGTCAGTTACCTTAATTCTACTCGTTTTTCACCGTCTCGACCTTGCCAGTTGATTTTCTGGTCTGTTTAGGGCAAAGTAAAAAGTTACCATTTTTAGGCCATCAGTCAAACGACTTTTGATCAGCTTTCGTTTGCATGCGAACACAACCACATAGCTGAGTCTCGGATCCTCAGACTACGTGATTGTCATTAAAAACACGGCTCGAACAACCTATTTTTATATGTTTTTGTGTGACAATCTTATATTAAATCCATTGGAGATGGATTGACCCTTTCCTTTTTCTATCTACTCATGTCCTGAAATATCAAATAATATCGGTGTTTAATTAAGATCTAGGACATTACAGCAGCTGTTATAGTTAGTTTACCCAGTCCCTTCACATATAACAGTCTCTGGGGGACCAAGCCTCCGCTCCCGTGATTTTCTTGAGATAACACTCTTATCTCCTATATTTCGTGTCCCGGGAGGGTTCCGTGGTATTTCTCTTCCCCCCACTGAAGCCTCCGTCTCCACAAATATCTGTCACTAAGGTCCTTATCGTGTGTTATTGCCACGATAAGAGGCTCCGTGTTTTTCTGTCTCTGATACAACCGTTCTTCACAATTTCTATCGTTGTTCTGATTTTCGTCTTTTTTATTCAAAATGGCCGTCTTTTTTCTATTTCTCAGAAATGTTCTTCTTCCGATCGAAATTTTAAAAATAAAAATTCTAGAACATTCTGACCCTCCGTCGCAACACTTTTCTGTTCATAAGGCCTTTAGTCACTTTTATTTCTGTCGCGGGAAGGTTATGCTGTGTCATCTGGCAGAATGGCACAACTGGAAGTCAGAAAATATGTTTTATCTTAAGTCATATCCTCAATGTGCAGATTAATGAAAGAATTTGAAGGCTATAGTGATGTAGTATGATGCCATTTATATTCTGCAGTCAGTCGATGTGACGTAGGTAAAAGTAATTTCGTGCATTTTGTAAATTCTGTTCGATGACACTGTAACCATTTAGAACATTGCGCGATTCAATGAGGACATTGACCGGACTGTCCGGGGAGTATGTGACATTCGACCAGAATGGCCAAAATGCAATTTATGCAGGATTCGAATTTTGAGCAGTAGGCCTTCCGAGTTGATGATTTTGAAGGATTAGCGACGTTGTTGGAACGTTTCGCCAAACGGTGAGGGCTAGAATATTCTAGTATTTTAAATTTTCAAAAATTCGAATGATGACGTCACATTTCTGAGAAATGCTGAAACGGCCATTTTAACAAAAAGCGAGTGAAAAACAGAACAACTTTATCTGTGATTGCGAACAGAACGAAAATCGAGATTAAAGAAAAACGACAACGAACTACAATAACAGAGAACGTTCCAAGTTGCAACTATTGTGCTGCTACAATAGTTGCAAGGCCGTTGCCAACAACGGTGAAGGGTGAGAAACAGCCTTCAGGATTGGTGTGAAATTGAACTTAAGGAGCTTGATTCACTGGATTCAAGAATCCGGAAGGGTTTCGGGACTGGAACTTTTAGCCTTTTATATAAACTTTTAGCTTCTTGTCATGTCCTGAATTGAATTTAATTAACAACTGGATTCATTTTGATAAGGATGAGAAGCTAGGAGTTGGGGGAAAGGGTTGATCCATCTTCGATGGAGATGATGATTTTTATCTACTGAACAAAAACAATAGTAATATGATAAGTAGTAGCCCTGTTTTTAGGAGTGACCTCGTGGTCTGGGGATACAGAGACCCAGCCATGAGCTCACTATTTTTGCATGTAATTCAGTTAATTTGAGCGTTCTGGTCGAAGCCGGAGAGCAGTAACGTTTTTGTCGACCCGATGTAAGAAAGACCACCGAAAAGTACTGGCTTGGTAGAGACGGTGAAAAACATGCAAAGCTCTGTTTAGACGCTAGCCAGTCGTCTTAAGACTTAGTTTTGTTATCCGTCGATATGTATCTTCCGGGCGAATGTTACATTAATTGAAAAGGACTTAAACACTTGTCATCTTCTTTTATCATTATCACTTCTATATCTAGAATATTCCACGGATTTTGACTGGAATACAAGATGAAGGGACTCCTGACTGTAACCTCGGTTACTATGATACTTTTGACCTTCTGATTACAAATAAAAAAAACTAAAAAAAAAAATCAGAATCGAGAAAAGACATCACTTCCGTATCTAGAAAATTCCAAGGATTTTGACTGGAATACGTGATGAAGGGACTCCTGACTGTAACCTCGGTTACTATGATACTTTTGGCCTTCTGAAAAAAAAAACCAGAATCGAGAAAAGACATAAATAATCCAAAATAAATATTAATTATTTATTAATTTCTTCTTTGTCTCGATTATGATTGGTTGAAACAGTATTTGTCCAAATACTGACGAGTCTGAATACGCGGTTGTCTAAATGCTGCTATGTAACCCTTCAGCCTTAGCTTGGTCCATTTATTCCTTCATCGAGAACTTCATGTGGTACTACCAAATGGCGAAATTCAACTAGGCAAACCCGTGCACATGGATGCTGATTTCTGATTGGCGAAACTAGGGATGCATGGAAGATATTCTAAGAAGATGCGAACTGGGAGCAGTCTCATCGGATTTGTTTCTGAAAATTCACTTCAAGAACAACATACGAAAGGGTTCACCTAGTCGTTTCTACATTTTTCATTTTTTTCGACATGCTTTTTTTAATGATTGTGTTGCATCGCAAGTTGTGCGAAGCTCTGCTTTGCATCTGTGTTTTATGATTATATTTGACCTCAATGATCTTGCTAGAAGCAATTCTTGCTAGGAGTAAATGTTTTTCAGATCACACTGTTTCCGACATTCTAACTTTCAATTTTTCTCATTTCAATGCCCGGAGTTGTCGTTAAAGGTGCTGCAGTTAGTGAGAAAACCTACGTTGATTCAGTGACTTCTATTTTTTCTGACTTATTTCCACAGGTGATTTATTCATCGGCAATCTTGACTACAATATCTCTAATTTGTACTGACTACAACTTTGGAACTTGTTCTTGTTTCAGGGCAACCGTAATTCAAAAGCGAGTAACCGACTGAATAATCAACAATCTTCAGATTTACACGAGACTGTCCTATGGGCACATGTAGTTCTCAATGATGCCGAGGATGTACTGTTCTCAATAGTCATCGGGTATTCTACTGGTATTCAAATTTGGAAAGTGTCCGAACACGGGGATGCAACTGAGCAATTATCGATCAGATGTGGGGCATCATCCGTGTTCAGAAAGATTCCCCCGCCTTCAGAAATTACGGCAAAATACGATAAGTTTGCTTCAAAAAGGCCGATAGCCGCATATACCGCTTCACAAAATGGGTACGTCGATTTGTCATGATGGTTTTGAATTTCTGGTCATTTAGTTGATCGGGATCTAGATTGTATAGGGAATGAAGAGACGTTTTGAAATGATTAAGATCAAAATCGATCTAAAAGTTACACACATTTTTAACCGTGTTTCTTTCTGTTTAGAGTGAAGCAGTCCTTCAAAACCCTTATCTACATATCCTTCCTCTCAGGCGAACACATACATTCCTTGAGCTTCACCAGCTCAATACAAGATGTGGTAGCAACAAACGAGTAGGTTCTTTACCCCATATTTTTTATCATCTTAGAAAAGAAATTGAGAAGACCAAATGGTGTTTTTCAGAGTAATTGTTGCGACGTTTTACGATCGGTTAGCAGTGTTTGACAACGCAACTCTTCAACATAAATTTTCTGTTACTTGTAAGTTAATTCAAATTGCTTTTAGGGCTTCAAGATTTAGGCTATTTGAACTACAGCAACTTCACTTTGTCAATATTGTTTCAGCCTGCTTTCCTTCAATATCGAACTGCGTCAGTTTGACCTCTACGTGGCTAGCTTACTGTGACCGATTTGTAAGAACCTACAAATATGAAACAATGAAATTTCATGCGCGGTTCTGATTTGTTCAAAATTGAAGCTTCATCTTTGTTTCAGTTGGTGCCTAGATTACAATCGGGTGGAGGCGTGAGTAATGATGGGAGAGAGTCGTACGCAGCTACCATCGTCAAAAGTGCCTCATATGTAAGCCGATTCCGTTTTCATTAAACGCCATCAGAAAATTGCAGTTAAAAATAGTTAACTGTTTAATGGTTTTGGCAATTGTCGAAGTCGTTGAACATTCTACAGGATCATATTTTTGACAAATTTTTTTCAGTTTCAAACTTTTGAAGCTTTTCAAGAGTCGATGAACGTAGTTCAGACTGTTATATAGGTTGCGGCGATTTTTTTGTTCGTTTCTTTTCGGGAATAGTCCTAAAATTTGTTCAGGCTCAAGTTATCTTTTTGCGGTTTGACTTTTGATTTTTTTGGTATCAAACAGCGAAAGTGTGAAGGTCACAAAAATTTGATCGACTTCTAGTTTCGAAAGTGGATTTAAAAAACTTCAGTCTTTTTTTCTCTTTTTGCGTTCACTAACTCTTTTCCAACTGTCTGTTGGCTGTTTTATTTATAGAAACTTGGTGTGGAAAAATTCTTGTTAAAACACTTCGTACTTTTGTCCCTAGAGCCATGTTTTTTCATGAATGTTTAAATGTTGTTAAGTTATAACATTTTACAGGGTTTAAATGCCGGTCTGAACCTCTTATCCCAGTACACATCTGGAGCTAAGCCAACTGCCAACAACACCAATGGCTCCAACCACCTCAACGGAACATCCAGTCATGGAAGTCCATCCGACAACTCAGAGTACTCATCGCCTCTTTCCAGTGCCAGTTCTAGCCCACTATTATCTCACTCTTCTTCGTTCTCTCTGTCCGGTCAGAGGTCAAGTTCGGGACTGAAGAATATCAACACAAATGGAGGAGAGGTTTGTTCGATGTTTTTTTTTCTGAAAAGTTGGGTAAGGCTGTTTCCCATTACAATATCCAAAAATGGCAAGTAATAGATTTAAGTGACCCCTGCAACGGGGTGCTACAATAATGGGTGGGGGTAGTCTCTAATTTTTCGAGGGTTGGGTCTATAATATGAAAGAAGCTGTATAGATGCAATAAATTCGATGAGCATGACACTTGAAAGTTGATGAATAAATGTAAGCATCTGATTCTCAAAAAAAAACTTTTTTTAGCAGACGAGATATCCTATTGTAGTAACTTTACATCCAATAAATTTTTGTGGCATTTCCTTAAACGGCTAGTATTTGTTAGTGGGTTAAAATCGAGTGTATTTGCAACGTATCGCATCATCATCGTGTTTTTACTTTTTTCTCGATGCTCAAAAATGTTCCGAGGGTTTCTCCTCGAATAATTTTTTTCGCAAACTGATTGAGAATTAGTTCCAACTCTGAAGTGAATTTGAATTATGGTAAACGTCTTTCTGCCATGGCTCACTTGCCATCCAGTCCAAGTATCTCTAAGATCAAAAGCTTTCAGGTTTCAACGCCACGTAACGGCGGAGTCTCTTGTGGAGGTGTCGCATGTATCCCTGGAGTCGTGACAGTAGTCGATTTGAGTCGAGTGCCGAAACCCTCTAAGAAGTGCAAACATGTTGTGGTTGGAACCAACAATGAGTTTGGACCCTCTGGGATGGAAGAAGTATTGGCCCATTTCCCGGCGTATACAGGTGAGAAAAACTGACAAATTTAACAAGGTATTGTTTTTTCCGGCTGATATTATAGAATGTATATTCCTTTTAAAACTGACAGATGACTCCTTGATTACCCTAGCTGTTTACAATTTTTTGGATGCTGTTGTTTGGTTTGATTTTTTTCGAAAAATAAATTCTCACTAGATTCAGTTGTTTTTGGCCTGTTTACTAATATATTTACCTATATTTATTACTAAATTTATTAGCTGATCTCTCCGAATATTAGCAGCTTTTTTTGAACGACGAAAGAATATTTATCAAACATACTATAGAGCATTCACACAAAAAACAGTCATCTTCAGATCTTAGATAAATTCATGTAAATGTACAATAAAAATACTGATGTACAACAAAAATGTACAACAAAAAAATCATGTAAATGTACAAAGTCATTTTCAAATATTTTGGTAAGCTAAAATTAGGATAGGTCTATCTCAATGTGTTGCAACAGTTTGATATGATAAATTGCGCATTTTTTGGTCGTTTATTTTGGAATCAGTCAGCAAAAATGGTAAATTAAATTCGATCTTAAAAATAATGTACCATGATTGTTTATAGGAGAATCGATAGTAGCAATGGAGATTTCGAATCGTGGGGTCATCGCGACGGCGGGTGAGTCGGGACGGTTGTTCAACGTGTTCAGAATGCACCCCCACCCCTGGACCTCGTCGCAATGTGCAGTGCATCATTTGTATGCATTGAGAAGGGGAGAAACTGTAGCAAAGGTAAGTTAATTGAGTAGTTGATTTTCGCTTTCGTATCCTCGCTGTTTTTGAAACACTTAATGTTATTGTTAATTGGCCAAAAATAAAACTTCGATGTCGAATTGCTTTAAAGCCTTCAGCAAGATAACGAAAAATTCATTTAGAGCAATTAAATACATGAAAAGTTGCGCAGCAATTAAAAGCATGAAAAGTTGCGCATACTTCAATTATTCAGTGTACCTAGTAGTTTTCGAAGCAAGATTGTGGGAGGATAGGGAAAATTACTGTCTTGCTAATTTTCACACTAATGGGAGTTCGAAAGAATTAGTGGTATTCTTCGGCAATTTAATATTTACAGAAGGATGTTTTTGTTGTTTTCATTTCAGATCAGCCACATTTCCCTCTCCTCTGATTTGCGGTGGGTGAGTGGATGCAGTAGTAAGGGTACAGTGCACCTGTTCCCCATCAACTGCTATGGGGGACAACCCTCTCCCCGGACACACTGCGACACCAAAGTGGCCAACAAGGTAATCTTCATTTGATTAATTAAAAAATATATAGTTCTCCCTATGCTATTCAGTAAATACGTTTTTGATTGATGCCTAACTTGATTACGCAGCGTGGCAACACTGGAAAATTAAAAAAATTAAATTAACTAAAAGCAAAACTACGATAAAATGCTTGCTTTTATGCGGTGCGAGATCGTATTGAATTAATGATAGAATGTCTAAATAAATATTGTTCATGTGATAAAGTTTTTGGAATTGTTTGTATGCTGAGTGCGGCTTAAGTCAATTAAAAATCTTGAAAAATTATGACTTTGATCTAGATTTGTTCATTGTGAATGTTGTTTATTGGTGTTTCCGTTCACAGGAGGACAAGTTCTATTGCAGTGCTGGACTAGACGATGTGAGGCCGGCCATGATTAGTGTGGCCCAACAGACTATGGCCCATTTGTCATCCAGTCCAAGTGAGTTGTTTATTTTTATGCTTTCTACTTGAAATTGTAAAATATAATTTCAACTAGCTGAGCATTGAGGGACCTGATCGCTGTACAAAGTTTTCCCCGCTATAATCGATATTTTTGTGTGTTGTAATAAGTATGTTGTATCTCCAAGTCAAATGAATAAGTTTGCCATTTCTGGTAATTTTGTCAACTGACTTGATTCTTTTCATTACTGTATTAGTGTATTAGTACGAACCTTCAATTTTTCTAACCTAACTCGCAAATGAAAATGTTCATTGACAGTGTTTACTTATTTGGTGGCACTTTGCTGTAATCACGATCTGTAGCTTTGGAAATTTCATAGCATATGTTCTCTGCTTGGTTTTTGGCTAGTGTTTGTGATTAATTATCGTCCGTGGCTGAGTGGTTAGTGCGTGAGACTCATTATCTCTAGGCTGCAGATCAAATGTGAGATGTAGCCGAGTTTTTACTAATTTGAGCCTCATTTATAGAGCTGATTTTTGTCGTGTTATCGCTAGTGTTTGCGAAGCACAGCTTCGCCTCCATGTTTATTTGCAAAAATGCACTTGGTCTCTGTCTACTTACACCATCGCGCCTGCGAGTCTAGTGTTATATTACAAATCCATTGTTTCCAGTTCAAATCGCGAATAAAAGTGCCCATTTGGTGGCATTTTTGCTGCCTAACAATGGCAAATTATTAGCATCTATACTATCGGTTTATTAAGTTCTACGGTTTGGATTATTTCAAGCGACCATGATGCAGGTACGAGGACATGATTCTCGTTGTCTCTGGTTCGACGAGTCGCTTCCAGCTTTTCAATAATTCAAGGCTTTTTTGTCTTTCTTTTCACATTTGATTTTTTTTGCATTTTTTCAGCCAAGTTTTCGAATTTTTGTTCCGAATTTTTTTCTTCCATTTTAAAGCGGTTATTTTTCAAGTGTTTATGTCTTCTAGTTTTTTTGTTTGCAGAAGTTAAGACTTATTGGCCCAATTTAATCTAACTGGGTTAGTGTTATGAAAAAAGTGTCAAAAAATATGCTTGAAATTTGAAGAGCTTGAGCGTGATTGATTGTCTCCCGATTTTCGAAAGTTGATAAATGTCCATAAAAATTAGCTTTTTTTGATTTCCTTGAGTTCATTTTAATTTCCCTCATGTGTGTTGGGCACGATTTTTTTTGTGTTTTTGAAGTGCAACTTAGACTTCGTCCATTTTTTTGTTTGCGATCGTGTACCATCAAATCCCATTCAAATTTTATGAGCTATACACCCTATCAAGCTTTGTCAAGATCTCTGTTGTCTGGTTTCCACCGTAATGTGATATGACCCAAGCAGCAATGATTGAGACTCTTTTTGCGTTTTTTTAAAAGTTCAGTTCATTTCCTTTGTTCAAAGGAAGGCAAACTCCACTATCGAATAGCAAAATTGTAAAGGTCACGAAAGACGATCGACTTCAAGTATCGAAAGTGAAATCTTTTTCCAGATTCCCCAGCGAAATAAAACTATAACTTATTGATCCAGTTTTTTCAAATTGGGTTCATTTTATCGAAAAACTGGCAATCACAATTTGTTTCAGAATTTCAAAGAGCTTTAAGGGCATCTATTTGTTTCTTTAAAATTCCGAATTATAATTTTTCATTTCAATCAAAACTATATAAAGAAAAAACAAAAATGGCACGAGGCGGTTTTTCGGCTTGCAAATTTCTAGAAAGAATTTCTTGTACATCGGTTTTTCATTTCATGATTTGGTGAAAATTTATGCTTTCTACTTGAAATTGTAAAATATAATTTCAACTAGCTGACCATAGAGGGACCTGATCGCTGTACAAAGTTTTTCCCACTAAAATTGATATTTTTGTGTGTAAGTTTGTTGTATCTCCAAGTCAAATCAATAAGTTTGCCATTTCTGATAATTTTGTCAACTGACTTGATTGTTTTCCTTACTGTATTATTGTATTAGTAGGAACCTTCAATTTTTCTAACCTAACTCGCAAATGAAAATGTTCATTAAAAGTGTTTACTTATTTGGTGGCACTTTGTCGTAATCACGATCTGTAGCTTTGGAAATTTTATAGCATATGTTCTCTGCTTGGTTTGTGGCTAGTGTTTGTGATTAATTATTGTCCGTGGCTGAGTGGTTAGTGCGTGAGACTCAATATCTCTAGGCTGCAGATCAAATGTGAGATTTTTCTTCCATTTTAAAGCGTTTTTTTTTCAAGTGTTTATGTCTTCTAGTTTTTTTTGTTTGCAGAAGTTAAGACTTATTGGCCCAGTTTAATCTAACTGGGTTAGTGTTATGAAAAAAGTGTCAAAAAATATGCTTGACATTTGAAGAGCTTGAGCGTGATTGATTGTCTCCCGTTTTTCGAAAGTTGATAAATGTCCATAAAAATTTGCTTTTTTTGATTTCCTTGAGTTCATTTTAATTTCCCTCATGTGTGTTGGGCACGTTTTTTTTGTGTTTTAGAAGTGCAACTTCGACTTCGTCCATTTTTTTGTTTGAGATTGTGTGTCATCAAATCCAATTCAAATTGCATGAGCTATACACCCTATCAAGCTTTGTCAAGATCTCTGTTGTCTGGTTTCCACCGTAATGTGATATGACCCAAGCAGCAATGATTGAGACTCTTTTTGCGTTTTTTTAAAAGTTCAGTTCATTTCCTTTGTTCAAAGGAAGGCAAACTCCACTATCGAATAGCAAAATTGTAAAGGTCACGAAAGACGATCGACTTCAAGTATCGAAAGTGAAATCTTTTTCCAGATTCCCCAGCGAAATAAAACTATAACTTATTGATCCAGTTTTTTCAAATTGGGTTCATTTTATCGAAAAACTGGCAATCACAATTTGTTTCAGAATTTCAAAGAGTTTTAAGGGCATCTATTTGTTTCTTTAAAATTCCGAATTATAATTTTTCATTTCAATCAAAACTATATAAAGAAAAAACAAAAATGGCACGAGGCGGTTTTTCGGCTTGCAAATTTCTAGAAAGAATTTCTTGTACATCGGTTTTTCATTTCATGGTTTGGTGAAAATTTATGCTTTCTACTTGAAATTGTAAAATATAATTTCAACTAGCTGACCATAGAGGGACCTGATCGCTGTACAAAGTTTTTCCCACTAAAATTGATATTTTTGTGTGTAAGTTTGTTGTATCTCCAAGTCAAATGAATAAGTTTGCCATTTCTGATAATTTTGTCAACTGACTTGATTGTTTTCCTTACTGTATTATTGTATTAGTACGAACCTTCAATTTTTCTAACCTAACTCGCAAATGAAAATGTTCATTGACAGTGTTTACTTATTTGGTGGCACTTTGCTGTAATCACGATCTGTAGCTTTGGAAATTTCATAGCATATGTTCTCTGCTTGGTTTTTGGCTAGTGTTTGTGATTAATTATCGTCCGTGGCTGAGTGGTTAGTGCGTGAGACTCATTATCTCTAGGCTGCAGATCAAATGTGAGATTTTTCTTCCATTTTAAAGCGTTTTTTTTTCAAGTGTTTGTCTTCTAGTTTTTTTTGTTTGCAGAAGTTAAGACTTATTGGCCCAGTTTAATCTAACTGGGTTAGTGTTATGAAAAAAGTGTCAAAAAATATGCTTGACATTTGAAGAGCTTGAGCGTGATTGATTGTCTCCCGTTTTTCGAAAGTTGATAAATGTCCATAAAAATTTGCTTTTTTTGATTTCCTTGAGTTCATTTTAATTTCCCTTATTGGCGGTTTTTCGGCTTGCAAATTTCTAGAAAGAATTTCTTGTAAATCGGGTTTTCATTTCATGTTTTAGTGAAAATTTATTCAGTGGTTGCACTCTGACCTCCAAATTTCTTCAGAGAACCATTAAGTTTTCGAGATGACGCTTTTATGGTTTTTCAAAATGGGATTTAAAAAATTAAAAAGTTTGAAATTACCAACCCTGTAATTGGGTGCAGTAAGAGTACACTAAAAGTTTGCAGATGTTGTTTCCAATATATGCGGTTTTTCATGAACTGTCTAAAAAATTCGAAGCATCGGAGGTGCGTTTAACGCTAGTTTATCTTTGTAATATGGTTCTTTGCTGCCGAAGTCATCGGCTTCAACATTCAGTAAATAAACACCTCTGTACAGATATTACTTAACATGAACAGATAATACATAAAAAATCTGTAGCTTTGGAAATTTCATATCTCCTGTTTTCTGGGTTGTGAGACTCCTATTCAGTTGGTCGGAAGATCGATGCGCACTTAGCACTAATTTATTTATATTTTATGGCATTTTGTGCATAGCATTCGCGCTGTTATTAGAACGTATGACCCCAAATATCGAGGTCAGGTTCGAATCCGACAATTTTTTTTACTAATTCGAGCCTTATTTCTACCTTTTCTGATTTAACTTTTGGTCTGAGCTGCTTCTTGTCGTTTTCTTGCTTGTTTTTGCGAGGCGCAGCTTCGCATCTGTGTTTTAATTTTGCGGGAGCAATTGTCTTGTAAACGGAATCAAGAACTTTTACAAAATTTTCCTAAAATTCTGACGAATTGAACTTGCTTTGTTATTGAACCTCAAGAAGTTCCAAACTCCTTCTCATTTCGTCCAGAGGTAAAGCAGGGTGTACTAAGGTATGGGGTTTTAGTCTCGACCGCACCATGTTAAGGGTCACAAACGTGGTGAACACTCATATAAGAGTAGAAAAGTATATCAGAGTGTTCACCACGTTTGTGACCCTTAACATGGTGCGGTCAAGACTAATCGTGATCATTTTTTTTCAGAAAAGTTCTAAATGCTCTAATAACTACAGATAGGCATTCGTACCTATTTATGTATTTATGAATGCACTTAGTTAAAAGTGCAATTTTTAGTTCAATTCAAGTTCATTTGCTAATAGGTAGACAAATTGGGCTCTCCAAATACGAACGTGAAATTGACGTGGAAAAAAACGAAAGTGGTTTTTACTTTCTAGGTTAAAAGGAAGGGTAACTCGCTTATCGAACAGCGAAAGTGTAAAGGTCACGACAAACGTGATTGACTTCTAGT